CAATTGTTTCTTCTTGCTTGTCCAATAACTTATATAGTTGGACATGATGACAGGACTGAAATACTTGACCATGATGACATGACTGAAATACTTGACCATGATGACAAGACTGAAATACTTGACCATGGTGACAAGACTGAAATACTTGACCATGGTGACAGGACTGAAATACTTGACCATGATGACATGACTGAAATATTTGACCATGGTGACAGGACTGAAATACTTGACCATGATGACAGGACTGAAATACTTGACCATGGTGACAGGACTGAAATACTTGACCATGATGACAGGACTGAAATACTTGACCATGATGACAGGACTGAAATACTTGACCATGATGACAGGACTTTTGTTTAAGATCAAGTATATAGACTCTCCCATTTGCAGTTTCTGTAAATATAACATTGAATCAATTACCCATCTATTTTGGGACTGTGAAATTGTGCAAGATATCTGGAAAAACCTCCAGTCATGGCTTTTATAGTTTGGCATGAAATGCATGTGGACCTGGTTTTTTGTAAATATCTCTTTATCCAATGACCCAATCGATCGCAAACTGTGCAAGTGGATGTTTTGTCAGACAACCTAATCACATTGTAAATCACTGATTTTATGCAATTGTATTAAAGAATCTGTCTATGTAACTGTCAACAAAATAAACAGCAGAACGCAGAAGGCTTGCAGAGGGAGGGAGCCAATGACCTGTAACAGCGGCAGTGTCGGGTCATAAAGGTCAACGTTCGTCAATGTAGGTCAGCTATGCTGGTGACCCTGATGTCAAAAGAATCTAACTTTGGATGCCTACCTTTTTGTACAAGGTTTTGTTTATTGGTTGTTGGTTTATTTTTCACAATTGTTAGCACGATGTTCTTTTTCATGCCAAGAGCAAACGTTATGCGCTTCATGTAATCCGACACCTTATAAATCGGTTTGCTACGTTTGCTCTCTTTTGGAAAAAATTTAAACACATTGCTAAATAAACGTTTAGCATCATCTGAATAAGCTTTCATGATGACAGCTAGAAGTAGTCAATGTGAATGATCCAAACGGTCTATCACTGTGCAGTGCACAGGTAACTATCATGAACTGCACTTGCATTTACCTTTATGACCCAACACTACCGCTGTTACAGGTCATTGGCTCCCTCCCTCTGCATGCCTTCTGCGTTCTGCTGTTTATTTTGTTGACAGTTACATAGACAGATTCTTTAATACAAATGCATAAAATCGGTGATTTACAATGTGATTAAGTTGTCTGACAAAACATCCACTTGCACAGTTTGAGATCATTTGGGTCACTGGATGAAGAGATATTTACAAAAAACCAGGTCCACATGCATTTTATGCCAAACTATAACTGACTTGAATATTCCGTCATATTTCCCAAAACAGAATGTCTTACTTGGAAATAAAGGAAAAAATAATAATCCAATTAATGCCATAATACTTGTTGTAAAGCAAGTTATCTTTAGACACAGCAGAAATTCAACTGTACCCTTTATCAGTCATGTGAAAAGGGAGATAATTAAGTATTATGACATTACAAGATATGTTTATTCTTCCTCTTGTGGTGTTGACAAATTTTTCTCCTTTTGGTCATCTCTACATACACTTTTCCAGCACTATAAGGAGAGGGATGAATGATTTTGTCTGTCATCCTTGTTTCATATAGACACAAATTGAATGCATATCCACCTGTACATTCATACGTATCTACATACATACACACATATACGTACCCGTCCGTACATACATACATACATACACACACACACACATACATACATACATACATACATACATACATACATACATACATACATACATACATACATACATACATACATACATACATACATACATACATACATACATACATACATACATACATACATACATACATACCCATACATATGGCATCATGGTATCTGATGCCATTTGAGACTTTTTTATAGAAATATCATTGATTGCTTTTGTAATCTTGTATATCAGCACAATTGTACCTATCAATGTCATACGTTGATCATATGTAATGTACCTATAAACAAGTAAAAAATGGTAAATAAATAAAAAATGATGACAGGACTGAAATACTTGACCATGATGACAGGACTGAAATACTTGACCATGGTGACAGGACTGAAATACTTGACCATGGCGACAGGACTGAAATACTTGACCATGATGACAGGACTGATAGTGTTGACCATGGTGACAGGACTGAAATACTTGACCATGATGACAGGACTGATAGTGTTGACCATGGTGACCTGACTGAAATACTTGACCATGGCGACAGGACTGAAATACTTGACCATGATGACAGGACTGATAGTGTTGGCCATAGTGACAGGACTGAAAATGCAGGTGACATTAAAGCAGGAGTCGAGTGTAATCAAAACGCAGCGTCTGTAGACTTCACATTTCAGCTTCTTGCTGGTAGGTCCAGTTATTGTGTAACCTTCATTAACTCCCCACCACAGAAACTCTAGAACTGTGGCTTCTCCAAGTGAGCAAGAAATTGCTCAGTTAAATTGACATCCACACAAGAAGATACATGAACAATTGACTGCATGCTTATTGCAGAATATAACCTACATTATACTGCTGAAGTACTGTAGAGCATTACTCTGGGACTACTTATAAAGTGGTAATTAGTTGTGCATATACTCATGCCAATAATGGTTGTCACTACCCAGCCTATTCATAAATTGAAGGTGGTGACAACCATTATTGGCATGAGTATATATCATAGTATTATGTAAACATTTGTGTTGTGTATATTCATAGTGTCTATACTATGGTGTTATGTAAATTGTTACATAGTATTTATTAGTAAAATGTATACCATGGTGATATTTAAATTGTCATATAGTGTATATTAATGGTATGTATAATATGAATATTTGTGTACTGTGTTATGTAAATTGCTACCTGGTGTAAATTATTAGCTTGTATACTATGGTGTTATGTATGTGTTTATTGGCAGTATGTGTACAATGAGAACTATATAGAGGTAGCAGCATCAATCTACAGTATTTCTATCAGCTGGATTTTAATCTGTTTATAAGCATCATGGATCCAAGATTGGTTTACCTATTTGCCACCCATGTGAGCTGTTTTATAATAGCCCGAAATATGATTAAGTCCTTAATATGATGGGATTCTTTTGCTTGAAACATAGATTGCTGATTTCAATCAGTTGGCCTATCCTGTCCTGATGTACTGGCATTTCCTCCTCCTCTTCTTGCTTTTTCTTCTGAATATTCTTCCTGAATTAGTACCATCTTCCTGATTTGTTGTACTCTTTCTTCCAGATGGTACTGATTTGTTGTACTCTTTCTTCCAGATGGTACTGATTTGTTGTACTCTTTCTTCCAGATGGTACTGATTTGTTGTACTCTTTCTTCCAGATGGTACTGATTTGTTGTACTCTTTCTTCCAGATGGTACTGATTTGTTGTACTCTTTCTTCCAGATGGTACTGATCTGTTGTACTCTTTCTTCCAGATGGTACTGATTTGTTGTACTCTTTCTTCCAGATGGTACTGATTTGTTGTACTCTTTCTTCCAGATGGTACTGATTTGTTGTACTCTTTCTTCCAGATGGTGTACTCTTTCTCCAGATGATTTGTTGTACTCTTTCTTCCAGATGGTACTGATTTGTTGTACTCTTTCTTCCAGATGGTACTGATGTGTTGTACTCTTTCTTCCAGATGGTACTGATTTGTTGTACTCTTTCTTCCAGATGGTACTGATTTGTTGTACTCTTTCTTCCAGATGGTACTGATTTGTTGTACTCTTTCTTCCAGATGGTACTGATTTGTTGTACTCTTTCTTCCAGATGGTCTTCCAGATGATTTGTTGATTTGATGTGATTTGTTGTACTTTCTTCCAGATGGTACTGATTTGTTGTACTCTTTCTTCCAGATGGTACTGATTTGTTGTACTCTTTCTTCCAGATGGTACTGATGTGTTGTACTCTTTCTTCCAGATGGTACTGATTTGTTGTACTCTTTCTTCCAGATGGTACTGATTTGTTGTACTCTTTCTTCCAGATGGTACTGATTTGTTGTACTCTTTCTTCCAGATGGCACCATTTTGTTGTGTACTTTCTTCTAGATGGTACCATTTTGTTGTGTACTATTTTCTAGATGGTACCATTTTGTTGTGTACTATTTTCTAGATGGTACCATTTTGTCGTGTACTTTCTTCTAGATGATAACTGTTTAGTTGCAGTGTTGTGGTGCTCCCTGTATACCTTTCCCCAGTCTAAGTAAACTTAGGCTCAGTATTATTTGTTAAACTGGTATATACTGAGTCTAACAAACTCTAGTAGAAGGTCGCGTCAGCTAACCTTTGAGTGACCTATGACTGTCCCATCAAACGCGAGATGGCTGAACAGATTTAACCAATAAGACAACTGCTACTATTTAGGTTTCGGCAGTACTTACAAAATGTTTATGGATTTTCTCTTACCGATCTCTCAACAAACAATAATCTACATAAAACATAGATATTTTGCCTGCAGCATATAAGGTATGGGGTTTCTGATGACATGGTTACTTTTAGCTTATATTTCCGCAGGATGACATCCTGGAATATTGACAAGAACGCTAGTTACTGTTTACTGACTGTTGTGAATAATGGTGTCCTCAGTGTGTATCACTCAGAAGCGAATGTGCGGAAAATAGCATTTGGAATTATTCGTGTAACGTTTTCGAAGTAAAGGTTCTAACGATATGTGCAAATGAAATTTTTGCAAGTTGGTAAGCTGTGTTCTGATTGGTCAATTCAAAAGGTTAGCTGACGCGACCTTCTACTAAGGTTTGTTAGACTCAGTATAGCAGTTTACTTAGACTGACCATTCCCTGAAATTATTGATGCCAGTATGTTCTATGACTCAATACCTTATGAAACAATCCTTTTAGCTCCCTACCTCCAAGAAAATGAGATATTCCTGCTTTGCACTAACCAGAGTGTTTCGGTTTTTCAGGCACCCCCTTCAAGGATGGAGTGAGTGGCTGCTCCCGACAGCGACATCCCCAGTTGTTACTGATGCTGTTACTATTCCACATATACCAGTCTTCGTGTACGTAGCAGCATGGGGACTACTGAGACTGTCGTCCTCCTCGTCCTCAGCCTTGGTGCTATAGTGTGCCTTCGTCAGTGTGGTCCTCCCAATACACCAACCAGAACAAAACAAATTTCTGCAATTTGTGGATATTTTTTAGAAAAATGTGTTCATGATATTACAAAATTTTAATTTAACATTTTTTACAAATGAATTTGAAATAGAACTTTAATGATTTGTGTGTGTGTTGAAAACAATTTTTCGTTCTTGGAGACAGTGAGTGTGAGGCACAGAAGGTGATCTACGTGGTGAGACTGATTGTCACACTGCAAGGGGTAGAAACACAGAACACGATCCTGTCTACAGCAAGGAGCAGCAACAGCCTCTGTATTCTGGATAGATACACTGAAGCCGGATGTGTGTGTTATAAGGATACTGAATAGGTATTATGTATTTTCAAAATTGAGAGGAAATGTTTTTACAATCTGAGCAAAATTTGTATTTGAAGAATTGTTTTCTGTAAACTGCATGATTAGAGTATTGTAAGGGATGCTGTATATATATGGATGGTGTTTCTAAGTGAAGACACTCACTACCAATGGAGTCAGCGTTGGGGATTCAACAGCAGCTGTTAGTGTGTGTGTTTTCAAAATCAATACTGGAGACGTGCACAAGGATGTCGAAATACAGAGGGGAGCCAATAAAATGGGTAAAAGAGAGTTTGCAAATTATTGCTTAACTGAATTAAGGGCTGCAGTAAAATCGAACCATGGATTGAAATCAAGCTGCACCGTCAGATGGGAATGTTTTTTATCTATTTCAAATTAATCCTTTTCGGTTGATTGCATTTTCAGAATGACATTTCCAGTGATTTTTACGAGGAGCCCATTACAATGTCATCATGGGAGATAACTCTAAACATAGTGGAGCTGAATCTTTCTGTAGCTTACAAACATTTATAGCAAGTTTTCCTTTTTCCTTTTGGAAACAAGGATTATGTTTTGTATCGAGTTCGTTACATTGGATCTGTGGAAAGGAATATATTGAACCGGATCCAACCAATTCCCTGAATAAGTTCTTTCACAGACACTAGTACAGTGTACAGTCCACACCAAGGTTGGGCTAAACCCCAGCAAAGATTAGAAATCAGATGCACTTTTGATAGGTGATAGTAGCAATATCACAGAGGTTAACACTTCCATTGTCTTTGCCAGCACATACGTTAGTGAAAGGAACAAAGTCTTATTCTTCCATTTAAATGGTTTCACTGAATATCTAATTGCAGGTCTGATAAAAATATTTTTAAAAAAACGTCCTTGAAATACCCAGCATATTAACTAAGTTTGACAAAGCTGTCATCTTTTCTCACTGGGCTCACAGTCACGGGGTTCATACTAATCAACCTGTCTGATGTTCTCCATTGTGGGGACAGTATATCTTATCTGAAGAGCTAGCAGTTAGATAGGAAGGATAAGTCCTACTGTGGACCAAACCCATTCTGTGTTATGTAGTTGACATTCAGGTAGGACAGACAACTCTCTCTGTGTGATGTAGTTAACATTCAGATAGTGGTGACAACTCTCTGTCTAATGTATTACCATTCAGATAGATGAGACAGTTCATGCTGTCTGATGTAGGTAAGTTTCAGGTAGTGGGAAGACAAATCTGTCTGATGTAGTTGACATTCAGGTAGGGGAGACAACTCTTATAGTTTGATGTGCTTATCATTCATATAGGGGAGAATGAAGTCTGATGTCGTGAAATCATTCAGATAGATAGAAACTCATGCTTACTGATGTGGTTAACTGCATAGGTGACACAACTCACCCTCCCCATGTAGCTGAAAGGTAATCAAAACTCAAATGCCACTACAGTGGAAGTTGTCAACACTGCCATAAAATCTCGGTCCTCCTGTCCATGGCTAGTACATTTATCATCATGTAAAAGCTCCGCTATCAGGCAGCTGCCAATTCCGGATCTCAGCTTGAAATGAGCCGCCCGAATATGTGTTTATACAGTAATCAGCGCAGTCTAATCCATCACGTGGCAAGGAGTCAGCCGGTTGTGTAACCCTGCGTTGAAATAGCAAGGGATTGTGAGCATGCGGCAGCCATTACACGTTAAGTAACTACAGGGTTGAAGATAAAGATAATTTAATCTTAGTTCAGTATGGATATACTTGTACATGTAATTAATGAGTTGACACGTCTTTCAAACACCAACATTATCATGTTTATATTGTTAAGTGAATATGAGCTCAGTTCGAGTCGTAGGAAACCATGTCAGCGCTACAATCCGGCATGCTGTCTAAACCGGATTATTTCTACAGTCCCGACAAGTGCTGGTTTAGACAACTTCCACTGTATTAGAAGCAAGTAAGTTTCATGGTGAAACAATTTCTGATAATCATGTGCTAAACGCTAAATAATGATTAATTCCTCTATGCTGACTATAGTTCTATAAGGGATGAAATGTATGGAAGGACAATGGTTGAAACTGATATTAGTGGTATAATGTCATGTAACATGTATTGATAGTTTTAAACAATTTAACTATGCCTAGTACTAGGTTCAAGTTTCTAAGTTAAATCATTTGTTCACAGATTCCTATAATACGCTTTATTCCTCACAATAAAGCATACTCAATGCACTGAAAACACACATGAATAATTTAGAGCAGTATTGAGACACTTACTTATCAAACAGAACATTAAAGCTTGACTTTTAAATGTCCAGTAATGGGGCTATTCCTGGCTCCCATTACATTATACAATCTTCAACAGATGTCTTTCTAATAGCCAACTTGTCAAATAGTTTTATGGTAAACCGTATCCCCAATTCAATGTGACATTCTATGAAGATTATAACTATTTTTCATTCAAAGTAGTGTTCACTGGTACACTACTCATTAGTTTTGATCATTACTAACAACATGACAATGGAATATACAGCACAGTGAGACATGAGCTTATAACATCTGTTGAGGGAGACAACCCAAATAGTTGCCCTGGCAGATTTGATGAGCTGCAGGAAGTGGAACATACTTCAGGAATGCCAGGCGATCAGGCTTGTGCTCATTGTCCTTCAATCCAGTGGTATTTAAATGGATCATGTGGATGTGGAGTGATCCGCCTGCCACAGACACCCTGTATGTGTTGTACTTCTTTGTACCACCCATCCCGTACTTGAGATGGAAGGTTCGCCAGCACCGTGTCACAATTTTGCTGACTTCAGAACCTGAATTAACCGTGACCCTGACCCTGCCCCTGACATCCTGGAGGTGAGAGGGAAGGTTCGCCATCATCCATGTTACAATAGCAGACTTCAGAACCTGAATTAACCCCAACCCTAACCCTGACATTCTGGAGGTGAGAAGGAAGGTTCGCCATCATCCATGTTACAATAGCAGACTTCAGAACCTGAATTAACCCCAACCCTAACCCTGACATTCTGGAGGTGAGAAGGAAGGTTCGCCATCATCCATGTTACAATAGCAGACTTCAGAACCTGAATTAACCCCAACCCTAACCCTGACATTCTAGAGGTGAGAAGGAAGGTTCGCCATCATCCATGTTACAATAGCAGACTTCAGAACCTGAATTAACCCCCACCCCAACCCTAACATCCTGGAGGTGAGAGGGGAGGTTCACAAAGAAATGCAGTCTCAATGAGTAGGATAGGATTTACCACAATACTATTAGATGCTATAAGTTGGCAGTGAAGAAGAGGTCTGTTGGAAATCAAAAAAGAATTATGTTGTGATAACAAACAGGAAATCATGGCTATGATAAAACAGAGGATGTTGAACAATGATAACTTTTGATTGGTTTCCGTATCAGCATTTACTTCTTAGGTTTGGACACCAAAAGATTTCCATGTGCAAATGAAAAGCTGAAATTTGCCACCTGACAATTGAAGGAAGGATTCATTTTGATATTCTGCTGGTAGGTGTTTGGGATGTAGGACTTCCATCAATGGTCAGTGTGCACAGATCAACTTCAGTACTTAGGTCATGTAATGACACTCATAAACAAATCTGAATTGTCAGTATTAATATGAACTCAGTTTGGAGTTACTCATGATTGGAAATGTTCCTGTTGTCACCAAATATATCTGACACCACCTGTATAGTGTGGGTCTTAATCCAGGACCACTTGTATAGTGTGGGGCTTAATCCAGGACCACTTCTACTGTATACGTCTTTATCCAGGACCACTTGTATAGTGTGGGGCTTAATCCAGGACCACTTGTATATTGTGGGTCTTAATCCAAGACCACTTGTATAGTGTAAGTCTTAATCCAAGACCACTTGTATAGTGTGGGGCTTAATCTAGGACCACTTGTATAGTGTGGGTCTTAATCCAGGACCACTTGTATTGTGTGGGGCTTAATCCAGGACCACTTGTTTAGTGTAAGTCTTAATCCAAGACCACTTGAATAGTGTGGGTCTTAATCCAGGACCACTTGTATAGTGTGGGTCTTAATCCAAGACCACTTGAATAGTGTGGGTCTTAATCCAGGACCACTTGTATAGTTAGGGTCTTAATCCAGGACCACTTGTATAAGGTGGGGCTGAATCCAGGACCACTTGTATAATGTGTAGAGTGTCTGGTTTCATCTCAGTATATGACCCCCCAGTTTCAACAGAAATAACCATATGTATCAGAGTCAGAGTCTGATGTGGTTTGCAGCTCGCTGAATTTGGGAATGACTCCAATACACATTACAGTAACTCATTACTTACACTCACCTCTAGAGAGTTGTGTTACACATTTGAAGGACATTATATTTTGGAGTATATTACTGTACAGAACTGTGTGCCCATAACCACTGATTGTACATATCATAGGGCAATGTCCATCACTCCTATGTACACACCAGGTGTGAAATATGTGGTATTCATGATTTAATGTTCTGAATCATATTCATCATTGTTGTTGATTATTTAATATGTTCAAGATAATCTGTGGGACTCAAGTAATGATATTTATAGAACTGATGTGTACATCAGTGTATAAATATCCTTCAGCTTGGGATGTGTTCTGCTTTAAGTCAGGGTATGTTTTGTAACCTTGGAGCTGGCAAGCAAGGAAGATATTTAGTTGGAAGCCTTGATTTGTTAGCTGGTAACCAGAAAGGTTTTCAAATACACTGTCGTCTACAGCCAAATACGTGGGATTGTTCAGCCAGAAGCCTGCAAGGTGATGTCGATTTTTTAAGCCTGGTGATGTCCATTTGGAAACCTGGTGATGTCCATATGAAGCCTGGGGTTGTTCATGTGGAAACATGGGGTTGTTCAGTTAGAAGTACAGGGATTGTTCCATTGGAAACCTGGGATGTTTGATTGAGAAATCCAGGATGGTTCATTTGGTAGCCTGGGATTGCTCATTTGTGAAGCCTGGGGCTGTCCAGCTTGTAACCTCCCAAAACCCCTACAGCTTATAACAACAAAGTTCATGGTCCAGTGCACTGCTAATCTCCTGCCTGTTACCTATTTCATACAATGGACCATTCCAAACACTTGGAAATTAAGAGAATGATTTTAATGAGCAATAACCAAACTAAGAGTTTAAGATAATGGTTTGAATGGAAGATAACAAAAATATTTTAATAAAAGTTCAAAAATATTGAACTTGAGGTTTAATTAACTTCATTAAATATCATAATGTCATAAAATGTTTTATGCTTTATTTTTCTACATATTATCTGTCAGCCTCAAG